CACGCGGCGCTTCCGCTTTTCCTTTTCGGTTGAAAAGGTGAATTTCCTTTGGCTACACCGTCCCGTTTAATTGACAGCAATTAAGCCTCGTACCTTTCTCGTCCCTTTTCTTTCACTCTGTTGTAATTAATTAACGAATTAATCGTTCGGGTAAGTTTCACTAAACACAAAAAAAAAACGAACGGAACGTTGAGATCGACAGAAGTTTGTGTTTACCGGCTGATCATTTAATTAACGTTCATCGGATAGCGTTATCTGAATAAAATCGATTGCTCTATCAACGTTCAGGCGCGTTTCATTATTAAATTATTCATCATCAGGGAATGGTTATAATCCATGGACAGTTAATAACGGTAATGTATTGAGTTACGAACGACGATGATTAATCCAATAGTACTCTAATTCGGAGGGTATTCGGATTGAATCGAGTAATAATTAATAGCGTTCGACGATGTTGACCAGCCGTGTGTCGAGATAAAGGAGCACGCTAAAACAACGAGGTTACCTGTCCGTATACATATATGCGACGGATAATAAAGCTCGATCCATCAACGGTTCGGTACGTGGCTCTAAATTGTCCTATCAGAGCCTTTTCTGTTTGTCGTTCGATGAATTAGGTAATTAACCAGCGGGGAACCGTTGTTCGAACAACGAAAACGTAAACAGACTCGTCTCTAACGCGCTATTGACATCAACGTCACTGGTAGAGGGAAGACATAAAGAGAGATTTCGTTATACAACGTATTTCCAAAACGGTGGTACAACCCGAAAAGATGTGATTTTACATGCAAAAGTAAGTGGAGAATGCAGAACATTTTTTTTAAGATTCGTTTTCGAGAAAATCGAACTTGAAAATCTGCTGCATAAGCGTGGAATTGAATTGCATTTGGCTGACGTGTCTGTTCGTGGCATTCTGTTTCTACTTAATTGTCACTATGAATACATGTGTATGCTGTTAGATGAATTTCGAAAATTGATTATCTTAGAAATGAAGCGTTGTACGAAGAAATATTATTCTACATTTTCGACTTACTTTTGCATGTAAATTCACGTCCTATTACTCGATTGCTCGGAAACGAAGCCTCAAGCGCAATTACGTCATTCTTGATTTCCATCTTACTTTGTCATGTAGAAACCACGCTGCAAAAATGTGCCATATTTATATAATCACCTGTACAGCTAGTGTACTTATGTTATTCTTTTAGTATTACATAGGTGTACGTTAACTTTTTTAACAAATGTGTTAACTGCAATCCGAGAGAAACAGTGTACGACGGTAATTGTACTAAAAATTGCCATATGGTTCCAAACTTTTAGGCAGCAGGGTGTATATCTCATATTCCAGTGAACGTGAGAGATTACATGAACATCAATCTTTAACACGTTGACCGCCAACCACGAGATAACTCGTACTTGAACCATTTAAAAGAGGCTGGATTATATGTATAAATACCGTTAGAAAATTTTTCCGTAAAATTAATACCGTGTTATAATTCAAATCAAGACAAACAACCTATTAACTAAACCTATTAACTAAACGCATACAAGTTCGACGATTCATGACTTAAAAAACGAAATACACTGTGTCTGGCTACGTACTGCCTTTTTCACTGTAACAGTAAACGCGTTAAACTCCCTAGTAAAACAATGAATTTCTCATCTTCCACGTATTATTCGAAATTCCCTATTCAAGCACGCGTCTCACAGATCTCTATCGGACAGGCTAATGAAAAGATTCGATGGACAACAAATTTAATCGTGGATGAAAATATCGAATAACAGATTCGCGAAATAATTCAGCCGAAAAATGTCCGCCGCTATTGCCTTTCTCGAGTGCTCGCTAAGAAGAGTAAAGAAAAAAGAAAACAGAAAAAGGAGAAAACCTCGCGGTGGAGAATCGTCCCGCGAGCGGAAACCTCCCTTCGCAGGTTAATGTCCCGGAAGGATTCGAGCTTTATATTTAGTTTTATGCGTGCGTAAACGTCGCTCCCTGACCGGATTTTTATTGGATCCGCGGATCCGCTCCCGGTTAAACCGATCAAGATGGAGAAAGCTAAAGAAGCCGTTTTCCTTTTATTCGCCGTGTTCCGCGGCGCGACCACTGCCGTGGTGAACGCCTCGAGGCGCGTTCCCGCTCGTAAACGCTCGAAACATTGGGATATCCTCTCTTTTCTCTGCAGAGCGTCTTCTTCGGGCGGGCCATGCGTGACGGAACTGTTCGCCTCTCCACGGCGCTGCTTCTTCGTCTTTCTTCTGCTTGACATCGTTTTTTCCTCGAGGATCCCTCCTTTATTTCCGGCCCGTGTTCCTCCTCGCGACAAGACGGGGAACATCTCTTTTCAGCGAGGGCTGAAGGGTCGAGCAGCGCACGGCCTGGTAAATTGAGAATTCTTTTCTGGAGGAATGAAGAGATCGGGGAGATTCTTTGCTCTTTGAAGAGCCGTGAAACGTTGTTGCTGGGACTCCTGATGCTCATTATACCGTTGTACGATTTTCTTCTCGGTGTATAGGAAACGCCCGAGCAGTGGTGTGGGGGTCGTGATTCTTAGAAGAGAATAAAAGTTTACTTTATTTGTTTGGTGTGCTGGGTGGGTTTTGAAGTAGGCGAGTAGGATTCAGAGAGACGTATCTGGTTTATGAAGATGAAAAAGGGTTGGTCTTGATCAACGACCTGTGGTTCAATGATTCTTCATAGGATTCTTCTCGTAACTCAAGTTTGAGAGAGTTAGATAGTGTCTGTTGATTCTTCGGAGTTACTAAGATTGTCATTAATTTTGTTGCCACATCAAGTTATTTTTATTGTGTGTTACTCATTTCTAACAGAATAAAAGTGGCAACAGCGGATTCGTGGGATTATTCTTGATTGTTGGGTTCTTATTAATAACTGTGTTATGTCAGTTCACGATTAGTATCGTGCGAAAGTCCTATTGTTAGAGCCGCGAATTTGTATGTAAAATGATTTTTTATATAGTAATTCGTAAATCCAAGAGCAAATGTAGAAGTGTTTGTGCTTTATAAATTCCAATAATTACTAAATAAGACTCAGTATAGTTCTCAGCACAGTTACAACTACACGATCAATTTCGGATCAAATAGATCGGAATGACGAACGATATTAAAGGATACATGACAAAAGTCGTCACTAGATTTGTCTGCAAAATATCATTTTCTGAACTGATCGATAAAAACACGAGTAAAACAAAAAATTCTCTCCTCCTACAAGAATTTCAATAGGACGAAAATAAAATGAAAAATTTCGTAAACTCGATCGAATTTTCGTACTTTACTGCATTTCACGTACTTCTGTATACTATAAAAAAGCTAGTCATCTCGACCAAAGTTTCATCTTTCAAATACTCGTGATTTTATCAAGGCAATCGTTTTGATAGACGTTTCAGTGACTCACCGGCCGGTTCTATCGATGTACAGGCTAACGATCAGATAATACAGTAACAAATGGAAAGTTGGGAGTGGTCAGGGACCGGGAGAGCATCCGCAAGCGAAACAACGGTGGAAGTTCCCTCCCCATCTTCCGGAGTTTCTCAGCCGTTGCGGAGACCGCGTGCACGCATGGCGAAACGGAGAAAGGCGTCGCGTCGGTATGATTTTCAGTCGATCCGCGGGCCGATCGTAACCGGATTCTGCGGCGCCGCGTGTGTTTACCGGCCCAGCCGTCGATATCGAAAGTAAAAGGCGACTCGCCTTGTGCCTGTTCTTATATGCCTTGCTCCCAACCAGTTTACCATGGTCAACCGTTGCGAAAGCGGCGTTGATTTCGTGCGTGCGCGCCGCCACGCCGTTCTTTCGAAACGCGTTTCGCGATCGCGATTCTTGCGACAGAACCAGGTGAATTTCGTTATATATCGAAGTCATTTTATTTACATCTGTACTACATACAGGGTGTTAGAAAAAACCATTTGATATTTATATGATACATAGGGCACACTGTACCGAGTAAGAAAGCCTTAGTAAACGTAGGTCGAAAGGTCAACAACTATTTGTGAGATATAAATATTTTTGTATGTTAGCATCATGATAAATTTATTATTTAAACAAATGGATTATTCTGGAATCTAATGGATGTAGCTGGATTCCTTATCAAAGAACACAAAATATTGTCATTTACATAGTTATTCTACCTATAATAATTTACGAAATATTCGACTATCTAACTTTGACGGGTGTTTTCACCCCTTCAACATGGATACGAGCAGCTACAAAAAATGTTAAATATTTTTATGAAAACTACTTTTTGCACAGAGTTGCATCACAATCAGTGATTATCACTTCGGTATGTTCCCTTGTTAGACGTGCTGGATCACGGGTTATAAGACGAGACCGCTTTCAATATGTTAACTACGAAATCACGATTGGCATGTAGCTAAATTGACGTGATTCAATATCTCATCTGGGAAATTGATACTTTACCGTTGGAATGAAAATTGTCACGTATCATGGAGCTGATGTGGCAGCAACGTGCTAATTATTGGAATTTTTTAGTACATCATTTCATACACCAGTAATAAAGTGACAGTAGTAATGCTCTTCTGTATTTAATACGACCTGTTTCACTTAACTTGATCAAATAGGAAGTATTTAAGGAAACAAGTTTCAATATTCATGAAGTATACGTTCGTTTTGCCTTAGTCAATACGGACATACGCGAAGTTAGTAACGTTAATATTTAGCTCCTTATGGAAACTTTATGGAAACCAGTATCGAGAAAACAACGAATTACCTCGTTAATTAAGGAATGTATTATGATAAACATAAAATTTCTTCGAAGCTTTTAATTCACTGTGTTTAATACATTTACCGCTGTTTATCGCAATATCAGTCTAACTCAATTCTAAGGCGAATCGATTTAATTCGTAAGCTTGCCTCGTCATATACATATATATAATACAAACCGATTCGATCGATCGCAAGGTAGTTTCCCACCAGAATTACAGAACCAACGTCGAAAAGCGACCGATGAATATTTCATGAAAATGTTTCAGGGACACGAGTTTGGGCACGATGGCGGAAATACCCTCGAGGTACCATTTCGCGGCCCATATGGGTCAACTGATATCCGGCATGGAAGGTCAGGGATGCCACAATTTCTTCCCCTCCTGTCCGTTGCCCGGGACCAGCGTTCTGAACATGATGAAGAAGATCCGATTGCGCTGAAACGACCAAACCGAGAACTTGTCTTTTCAGAACACGAGAGTGACAACGAAACCTGTGATATCGCGGACTGTACTTTTTCTCGTAACCTTGAAGTCGTGACTAAGAACCCGGTCTTTAACGTCTTTAAGTTTTTCTATGTTTATCTATCCTTGGATGTACAGACTTATCCATTTTGATACAACTAGTGGATCTCTAGATGATTGTCTAGATGGCCTATCTATACAGTTCAGATTACGAGACGCAAAGAAACCATTTTTGGAAATTCTATCGTATTATTTTAGTAATCGTACGATAACCCGTTAAATGGAAAAAAAAATGATCTGTTTAGTCGTTGAATGTTACGGAGCTGTTGATAAGATTGCGAGATTATTGTTAAGAAAATCCTAGGAAGTTAAGGTATTTGTAGATAATTATCATCCGTATTCGACTTTCACGAATTCTTTCTGCTAGATGGTAATGTAAAAATATATAGCCTTAAAGAAATCTAACACTGTTTCAATTAACGTAAGGTAATTTCAGACTGTGACTATGAGAATTATATGGTGTTTAACGCGTTCCAGAGATTTGCTCGTGGTTTAACGAGCAAATATAAATTCATGACCGCTATTTATTGCGCAAAACACGAGTATTAAACGCGATACCACTAAAACTCGATATTCGACTCTGTATTTCTGTGTATTGCAGGTATATTGTACGAATCGAAGCGTACGATCAAGTTGTATGTTATACAATTACGCATTTTACGTTCTCCGAAAATAAAAACACGAATAAAAGCGTGATCCTGTTGTTTGCAAAACCCCCCATCGTTGGTGGAACAGCTCTCGAAAATACGTATTTTATTCTGTAACTTTATATTTCGCGTATGTGTACACGATTTAATTGTTGGAATAAATTTCTACGTGGAATATGAAAATTCTATTTTCTCCATGAAACACATAAAACTGCTTTAACAGTAAAAAACTCAGGCCTTTTATTTACCTTTAATTAATACAGAAGTATTTTTTTTCATTGCATTTTTTTCAATCCTTAATTACTAAAAACCAAAAAAGATGATTAACAACATCTTGAATTACTTCATTAATAATTCAGCTCTTTAACAATGAATAAATGGTACTTATAACAGCTTTTGCACGATGTACCATATTTAAACATTCATATCCAAAAACCGGATTTTTTCAGATTACAATCGTTGGAAAGGTAATTTTTTATGTAAACCTCCTTCTTCTCCTTGCTTATCCTTAACTAACAATTGAAATAAACAAATTAGCAGGGAAACATAATTTTCTAACGATAAAAACACAAGAATACTTTTCGGTCGTTAAAATATATAAAATTGGGCATGAATCTAAACCATGTGTGCCATTGTCCGGATAAAATCAAATATTTGATACAAAATATGAAGATTACTTGTAAGAGTCATCATAAAATTCATATAATCCCTCTAATATTAAAAACATATTAAAATCAAACTGATCCTTAACGACTCACCGTGCGCCATTCCGCAGTTCCGTAAATATGACCACCATCACGACAATATAATAAGTAAAGAACGAACCGTTTTATTTAACTGATTCGATCCTTTTAACGTCAGAGGAGTTTTAATTTCGTCGTTCTTCGAGCACCGCAACGATAAAGCTCTCTTTCACGACTCTTTTTCTTCATCTCGCGTTGTTACGTAACAGCCGCCAAGTACGCCCTTTATTAATTTCCCAGCAATTACGGGACATTTCCCGTGTTCTCGAGATACGTCCCTAATAGCCATTCCACGGAAATTTACCGACGCTCGAACTGATTTCAACGAAGTAGCCCTTATTTACCATCGGGCGTATAATATTTAGCGGGCGTATAACGTTCACAAAGGCGGTCCGGGTAATGGCTCTTTCGTTCGAGCCCCGGTTCCTTGTAATTATTTCGCCCGGCTAGGGCCAGAAAGGGGAACTAATTTGCGCGGATAACAGTTTATCCTTTCCGTCGTCGTTATCCTGTCGCGCGTTTAATCCATCGCGTTCTTGTCTACCGTAGATCCAATAGCGACGGCTACGTCCGACGAATCGTGAACGGTCCGCTTGTACTCTTTCCAGTGATTTTTCCGGTTCCATTTTCAATTCAGTTGCATCAGTATTCTTGTGATATTTTTGGTCGACTTGAATAGATAATTGGGTATTACTTATTGAATATTATTTGATACAGAAAACATAGGCCTGGATTGAGATTTTTTGTGGCCCAGGACTATCAGATTTTCGGGGGGTCCCTTGGATGAAAAGCGAGTAGATATTTTTATCATTGTCTGACTCGAGAAGTATAGTTCTTACTACCGTTATAATCTTATAAACGGTTTTTATCTAATGTACTTGAAATTGGTAAAAATGGAACTGCACTCCTTTAGCTGCAATGTCCTCAATTCACGATCCTGCACGTTCCCCAAAAGCAGAGATGGGCAAATTCATTATCTAGGTAAAAAATGTCGAATAACGAATAAAAGATAAAAACAGTACTTCGTCATTTTTAACTGTTTAAACGTGGAAATATCAATTTTTATAATGAAATAATACTTCTTTATAAATGAATCGATATTAGTCGAACAATTATTTAATCTCATTAACTGTTTAAAGCTCAGAACGACACCTCTAGATAGTGCTGCTTTTCACTGTTGTGTATTATTCGAATGAAATTCTGCCCAACTCTGCCCAAAGGATATTCTTCTCCGAGCAGCAATTCCCGTCCTTCCGCCTCCCAATACGGAACACGATTTAGCGCCGTCTTGGGCCTCGCGCGAAAACAATCCGTACAATTTACAGCGGCGTCGCCACCGAAAAGTTATTATAATAATCTCCGGGTTCCTTTATCGGCTTAAGCGCGATTGCCAAGCGGTCCCCGGTAACGATCAACGAACGAGATCGTGCCAAGAGTCCCGGCACGAACAGTTACGATCCACGATATCCACGCAGAAATGATCGTTGCGCACCGAGCTTCGTTTATCGGCTTCCATCCCCCACCCTCCAACCCCTGTGCCAACTTCGCAATTCCCCGTGGCCGGTTTCCTGCACTGAATTTCGGGGCACCCCGCTGTTTCGCTCGGACTGGCATGGGGTCGCGATGTTACGGCGCGTTTCGCGGAATAATCCACGATTACCGAAACGAACGCGCCGGGAAAACGTAGACCCGGGATTCCCGCACCAGCGAGCGCAGCTGGATGTTGCGTAACGTTCACGGGCGATCGAGTGACTGGAGGAATTTTGGAACCGCGGGTGAAATCCTGTTTTGTGGCCGTGTCCGCACGAACGACGGTCTGGTAATCGTTGATTTTAGGGGAGGTAACGTGGCATGGGAACCGAGAAATTAGAGGAGCGAATGGAATAATGAAATAGTCTGTGTTGGATAAACAGGAGTGTGTACCTTTAAGGGATCTTGCCACTGTAATGGAAGATTTAATTAAAATACTTTACATAAGTCCTACTAGGTTTAAAAGGATTAAAATACTAACAAGTAGGTACCTACTGTGCAAGACGTGGATTTAACTCTATGGAAGTTCTATGAGTACTGATCTAACTCGTGCGTATTAAAGTTACCAAGAAAATGGTAAAGCAATTAAAAAAAAAACTGAGTAGACAAGAAGAGTAGAATTGGTGTCGACATTCTATACATATATGTATGTATACCTGTAATGATGATGAAGGATAAATGCAACTGTTAATTCCAATGTAAAAAGCTAATGTAAGAGAAAGAGAGACGTTAATAAGTGCACCGTATATGGTTCTAGAACTATTGCAGAATAAATATTTCTACAAAAAGTGTCTCAATAATTAAGTGAAAGTCATTTAAATAAACGAGGCTATGTTAACAGGATATATACTTGTGTTTTTGTATAATTGGACGCGAGAGGTCGTCCACTGATGCGAGAAGGGAAAAGTGCATCGACGATATCGGTTCCGATCTACGTGAACGAGGCCAACGCAGGAAAATTGCGTTCATTGAGCAACGATTTCAGCAGGGCTCTCGCGCGTAATCGGTCTCGTTCACCGTGTGACACGGTCCGTGTCCCGTCACCGCGCAAGAAACCGATTATATTCGCGCAGAGTTGCTGCTGCGTGATCGCACTTAAGTGGCTGTTGGCACCATTTCTATCTGTGATCACTTCGGAAACAATATCGAGAAAACAATTCACAGTGATCGAAATTGATCGTTTGATTCTCTTAATGTTCAACTTCCTACAATCTTCATCCACCTGTCCCACAATCAGAAAGCTGATTCCCAACCGAAAAAATTCTTACACTATTGAATTTTTGATAATTCAGTATCTACTGTCCTGCGATCGTTTCCTCCATTATGTTCCAAGGTACCTGCAGCGTAGATGCGAAAAAAAACAGTACCCTCGACATTTCTACTTAAAAGAAGTATTCCAGAGACCGTCTGAATGTTCCATCAAAATAGTAAGCACATCTGAATTTGAAAACCATGTCTATTTTACAACAACAAGGATGTAATATCTTCAGACCACAAATGACTAACAGAGCTTCAATTTCCTGAATGAGGTTCACAAAATTCAGTACTTACCATCTACAACCACAAAAGCTAAAGTATACAATTTCCCGAATCCAAATGACAAAATTCAGTACTCACCAGCTAGACCTACAAAAGTTCAAATACGCCATTTAACAAAGATAAAAGTCCCCCGAATTCTTCAAACACTTGAGACCATTTCACATCCAATGATCACCTGTCTTCGCACTCGATTTCCACCGCCTACGTTTCCACCAACTTCCGGTACCATACACCGCGTCCTTACAGATTTCCCCCAAGAGAAATATCTCAACAACCCCAGAATACACCGTGGTAAAGGTGAAGACGTTCGACACGGATCGAAGAAGACGGACGCTCGTGAAGAAATCGCGGCGACCTTGAGGAGGACACGGCGACTCCAGGAAGAGGGCTCGAAGGACGTCACGTGTGAGCCCTGTTGCGCGAACTAAATGTCGCAATCCGGCGCTCGCCGTTCGTTTGAATGCGACGGCCGGGAAGGGGCGATCACTTTCTCTTGGTCGCCGGCGAACGAGCACGGCCTCCCGTTTGCCCGGAGGAACACTCGACGACGAGTTTTTACCAAAGAAGCAACACCAGTCCGCCACGTTTTCCGAGTGACGCACACGCGATCAGGAAGGAAATAACGGCGGTAACCGCGCGTCGATTCCGCGACGATCCGAAGAAATTGATATAAAGTGGACCGGGAACACGGTGTCTGAGCGGATAGTGCTCGGCGGAGTTCGATGGACAACGTTTCGGTGTTTGCGCGCGAGTTTAGCGACTTTGTGGCCCCGAAGTGTGTTCTCTTCTACGGCTGACCGAAGTGTTCAAGTAGGAGTCCGATAGAGAATTGAAGTTTGTTGGGGAAGTTAGTAATTGTTGGATCGGTGGACAGTGGTTTTTGTTCGTATGGTTGATATGTATATGTGATTGTTCGTGTAATTGTAGCATATAGAATAATCGTGTATGGTACACTACCGGTTATTAGGACATCTGGTCTGTGTGAAGAAAATATAATGTTTCATAAAAATTTCTAGAAGACTGATAACATGGTCATAAATAAGAATAAGTAAATTGAAAGCAAACAAACAAGAAAAAGTGGACTTACGTCACTTCCAAAATAAACGGTTTACATATAGAGTGTTCAAAAAAAGGGTCTAACACTTTAGGTGCTTATAGTACTCACCGAGTGGAGTGAAAAATATCTAACCAACATGAGTCATAAAAGCAGTCATTTCAAAGACAAATACAAGCTTGTTTTCACATATGATACAGAGGTTTCATATATCTTCCCTCCATTTCAATGTAAAACTCACATCTACGGATCATAAATCGACGTACATTCCTAAATATCACTTCCGTATCTCGTATTGTCTGTTCTTATACTGTCTTGAAACAATATATACTTCCAAATATAAAAATATAAATGTTGATTATACATCGAAGTGGTGTATTTTACAACTTATATTGATCTGACATTTTTTACTCCACTCGCTGAATACTATAAGCCCATGAAGTATTAGATCTTTTATTTGAACACTCTATATATGCATATAAGAAGATTTAATATTTAACAAACGGAATGAATTTCAATATTCTTGGATAAGTATAAATGAAAGAGTTACTTGGAAGGAATGTGGTTGATTTCTCAGATAACATTCCACGATGCGACTGAACCGTGTGTATTTCTTCCTGGGAGTTTACTTCCTGGCACTTTCTTTCGTTGCCGCGGCTCCGCGGCCGGAGGAACCGGCGTTCGAACTTCCGGTACAGCTGGTCGGCTTTCCGGTAATCATCGCTGCTGTAAGGATCACTAATTTCGTGAAGAAACTAGCGTACTCTCTGAATCCTGGTAAGATTTGCGAAAAAATTCATGTTAATAAAATATTGGCAATTGATATCAATTTTGTAATTCTGTAAATAAGGAACCTCGAGATTATATTCTTTACTCATTAATACTTAATACAATTACATTTGATGTTAAAATATTATGACCTCTAATATTGTACAAACATTCAAAGAATATTACCAGAAATACTCTAATAGTTTAGTCGTATCCGTAAAACAGTAACAAATTTTTTATGATCTCGACAATATTTCACAGTTCTCATAAATTTTTATCATATTTTTCTTTGTACAAAACTATGTACACATTCGTCGTAAAAATTGCCATTCATAAACATGAATTTTCATATAATTATCCATATTATTATAGAAACTCGATAGAAAAACCTAAATTACAACACAAGGATTTACTATTTGTTTTTCAATTCTTCCTCAAGTTAAGAAGCAGATTGACGAGAATTGTCTCGGTACAAAACATTTCGATGATTGTTAAATTATTAATGCAATATATAAGAAAAGACAAATCTTTCAAGACACACAATAATTCGGTCACAATACTCATTTAAACGTACATTTAACGTAATGTTTCGAAAGTCGCACAGATGCTTCCGTAGATCGTGGAAGTAAAAACGAATCGAAACTACCGCGCATAGGTAACCCGGTGTCCTCGTGGCGCCGCGCGTGAATCGAATTGGCGAGCAGCGAAAGCGAAAGTGTTCCACTTGTTGCAGACTTCTCTGTTGCAGCCACGGAATCCTGTCTAATGCAGGCGTAACGCGGTGTGTTTCCTGCATGCAAATAGATTGTCCCAGATTGATTCATTAATTCGTCCAAATATTACATATCATTGCACATAACCTGACGGATTTCACGGAATCATTACATTTGATTATGATTTCATGAATGAAACGTATCAATAAATATCTCTACTTGTGTCCTACATTACACTTTCTTCTTTAGGAAGTTAGTGAAATCAGTTGAAGATTGATGAATATCGATTATAGCGCATAATTGAATTATAAAGAAATTCGAATGATTTTTTGGGCATACGTGAACTTTAAGTTAAAAGTTTTTGTTTACTCGGATTGAGTTTACGGTGAAGATTATTGTTTAGAAAAAAATCATCCAGCAAAGACGCGGAGGTTAGCAGTGAATTTAAATTGTTTCCAAAGACCCAAATTTTTATGGGAAAAATTGGAATACTTTATTCAACGATTAAGATACTATAAAATTTGATTAAAAGTAGAGAGAGTAATACAGGGTTTGTATTTTATTTGGAAATCATTTAGAGGGACGATTTGAATATCTATAATACAATTTAATGCAATTATCTGGCTCGTTTAAATTAAGAAAACGAAGGAAATTCAATAAATCATGAACCGAGCAACACGACTGGAAATTGGATTGAGACCGTCGGTTTTCATTAAAACGAAAGTTGAAGGAGCCGTTGACTCCCGTTTATACAGTTTCGAATGATTGGACCGGGGACTGTCTGGCGGTTTGATGACAGAAATCAAACAGTGCAGAAGTGCAGATTGAAACCTGCATAATGCATTAACGTGATTGACCGGTGTCATTGGATGACTTTGCTGCACGTTACGGGGGTCATTTCATAGCTCACAGTCATTTCGGATGATGCAGATGTGACTTTTGAAATGTGTAGATTAAAGGCCGTGGAATATTTGAAAAAAGACAGATTCATTGTTTTAAAATTATTACTAAAATACTTCATTCTACTTAATAGTGACTTTCATTTAACCTTGGTTGCATTTCTGTGTAGAATAAATAGTTATTCCAACGAATGGAGAGTAAATTATTCGTGTTCAATTAAAATATCACGTTTCTGTGTAATAGTCGCTTTACAAGAAAACTGGTTATCGATCGAGGTCAGTACTGACTAACAAATTATTTCGAAGTAGATAAAAAGTCCTTCGAGGAATCAACATCAATTGAGAGTCCACGTTCGCAGAAATTGTTCAGTATGATAATATATTACCGTTTGAAACCTTTCGGCTTACAGGGACTTACGCAAGTCGAGCGAAGCGGGAACTGCCTTTGGTTCACGACGAAGAAATCCTTGACGTTGGCCAGGTCGAGAAGAAAATGATAGCTGAGCTAGGCAATAACGTATGCGTCTACGAGAGAATTTGCGCCAAATATGCAACGCAGACGCTGCGAAAACGGAGCCGGGAACGCGATCTCGATTGGAACGTCGTCTTCAGGTACTATCGATGTTTCGTAACTCTGACACGTCTCGACTATTACCTCAATTCAGTTGTTAGTAACCGATAGTAAAACCTTTCCTCCTCGACAACTCCTTCGGAAGAAATTCCTCTGTGAATGTCAGAAAGTGAAATCTAGGTCTGCTGCTTGAAAATGGCAGAATGAAATGGTTCGAAGTAGTTGAACAATCTAAACAGGGTATAGTACTACAAAGTTGAACCTTTTTGATATTTTCATAGATGAATGAAGACCTTAGGGGATGGTAGGATATAAAAGTAACATGATATTGACGTTTTATCTATTCGTTAGAGTAGAAGTTCTGTTCTGGCTGTAAAGGGCAAGAAGAGAATGACTTTTTGAACATACAGTAAAAAAATATCGAGGAAATTTTGTTAAATTAAGTACCTTCGATATATTCGCAGACTTCTATCGAAATAAGAAACATGAAAATGATATAAAATTATCATCTGGAGTAAGATACTCGTGACATTTAATAAATATTAGAATATAGCTTAGCTAAAAAAAGAGTACAAGTAGTCATAAACAGACTTACTCGGACCACAGTGGGATAGACCTGAACCGCCATTAAACTACCGAGAGGAACATAATAGACAAAAGTGACTACCAATTACATAGCATTATTAAATCTATAGCACGATTGAAATATGATTAATTACTTCGAGCTGCTATACACATATCCTCACGTTCGTTCGATAACTATAAACAGCTCAATTCGACTAATTATAATCCACTATTTCCAAAACCAAAGAAACACAACAAGTCACAAACCATTAGTCCAAATCAACATTTACCCAACTCAGCGTTTCTCAAAGACCTAATTCTTATTCCCATGGCAATAAAACCGTTACACCTTTACGTAACCATCGTTCAATTTTCCCCAGAGGCTCGATACCTTCGCATAGTTTCTTCTCAATCGCAACGCGACCATCTCGTTACAAGTTTCGATACCATGCATTTGCATTGGATCTTCTTCTCGAACCAGTCGTTAAAGCGATCGTAATTGCCGATCGTTTCTTTCCTCGGTTACGTGGATCGTTCGTCCTTCGAGGATCGACTATGGAAGCGCATCGGTAAAACAAGAGGCTGCCAACGAGCTACTGATAACGTCATTTCGATACCGTGCACTCGACACCGTTGCGCCGAGATGCACTCGGCCGATCTTGTTTGCGGCCGGGTTGCGTAACCACGACCCTGAAGTTCACGGCCCGAGGGCGCGAGCACGACTACAGGGGACTGGTTTTCCACCTAACTCCCGGGTCGATCGACTTGCGAAACGCCTGGCCGATAGGAAGACCCAATAACGGGCCGCGTTAGCGCATCGTGGAAAACTACTGACCCATTTGCGCGGCCAACTGTGAACCAATCGACCACTCCCCCTCCTTACTCGGTCATTTTTGTTTCCTCTTCTTCTTGCCCATTTGTATTTTTCTATCGAACCTACGATTTGCACTTATTACATTAATCGCTCCGATGATTAGTCTTCCTCCCCCCAAACTTACCTCTTGCGAGTGAAATTCTATCGGATAAGAGATTAGCGACGGGTTTCTTTTTTTAAGAAAAGGCATTCTTGGATGGCACACTGCTTTTAGGGTGAAGTTTAATTTCGTTTCATGTGTTGGATCCTTAACCCTTTACTAAGCAAATGAGAATGGTTTTTCCTGCAGGTAAACAATATAACTTGAAAATTACAATATAACTGCTTGATTGGAAATACACTACTCCTAGTGTGACTGAAATTACAAACTTATTTTGACCAAACTAAAACTTAAGAAATTGAAAATTTAAGTTCCAAGTGTTTAGTCAGTAGTAACTAGTATACAGATAAAAAGATGTCTAGGCGATAAAAATTCATTTGGATTATATAGAACATTGATCAATGTTTTATTTGTTACCTGAGTATTTGAAAATTCCTCTTTAGTAGGTTCCTAATTTTTATGTTTGATTAAAATCCGTGATCTGGTAGTTTAGAGGAGATTGAAGAATGATGGAGAGATGAAATATGGTAAGAAGAAGTCATTGATTAATAGCACTTCTACTACTTCCAAATTTTTATATCAGTAGCGCTATACTATTTATTGTAGCGATCGGGAATGAATTGAGTAACTGATTTTACGTCAGATTACTAAGCATCATGCTGTGAATCGGCGATGAAAGTTTAGAGGCGCTGACAAAGGTCAGTGTTGAAATCGAAAGTCTCCGATTCGAATAGAAATAGACTTGTCATCTAAACTTTCCCCTTCCCTGTCATATATTTTACACTTTATAGTTTTCTCGATGTTAACTTGTTAATTAGGATATAACACGTGCAATTATCGATTTGTCAGTCACATTTACTACTGTCGGAAACTTTAAACAAATTTTATTAACCGAAGTGTTGTACGGTTGTGGCAATGAAATATTATTACAATTAACACTGACAAATATTTAGAAGTAAAACTTGTAAATTTCTCCTAGTTTAAACTCGAATCAGTTTTCACTTCACTTCTTTTACATTCAATTATATTTCTTAGAAGGATACTCCTGCCCATCGACATAGTAGGTATAACAAATGAACAATTAACTCTCATTCACATCAAATGACTTTGCAAAATTTAAACAACAAACATCATGGCATATGCACACACCTTATCCAAACCCTCAAACCTTATCAAACCCTGAAACTAGAAATCAGCAAATTTCTTATCTAGGTAAACAGTTTCGAATAACAAATAACAGATAAAAAGTACTTCACTATTTTTCATTGATTGAACATAGAAATTGCAATTTTTATAATAAAATAATACTCCGTCTTCAATGAGTAGAAATTTGGCAAATAATTATTTAATCTCATTAACCCTGCTGTTCTCCTGGGGTCCATATAACCTGAAATGTAAATTCTGTTTCAATAAGCATCATATTTCAAAAATTTATTTCTAGTATTCAACGTTTTTAAATTTTCCATGTATTTTTCGTGTATATTGCATTTTTTAAGAACAATTTATTTCCACATTTGAAGAAATTTCGTCCGAACGGATAAAAATATTAGAGGTAAGCAAAGGGAACAGCAAGGTTAACTCTTTAAAAATCAGGATAACGCTTATAGCTACTGTTGCTTTTCACTATACAATTTTCGAATAAAATTGTACCTACTCAACTCAACCTCACACCACCACACGATACAACACAACATTATCCTTTCTATTCTTCACCCACAGCGAACCCTGCGAAGGACTCAAGACAATCGGTCCCTCATCCACGCTCCGTTAAACCTCTACGAGTTGTTTTCTGCCAGCAACAACGTCCGATTCACCCTTCCCCCGTTCCGTTGCCCTTTCTCCTCCCGACGCCACTTCATTCGCTCGCAGGTGACGAATTCGAATTTCGTCCCGGCTGACGCGTCCTCTTCATTCACGGTCGAACAGGCGTCGCGGGATCGCTGATAAGCCGTTCGAATCTACGGGCAGATAGCTCGCGACGCTCGTAAAACGGGAGCCAGGCGCTAGGTACGAGCCCGTAGAGGGACAAACGTCGGGGCAGAGTTATCAGGGATGCATTAGGACGGTCGTGGAGGCCGCCATTAAAGGCTATCTGCTCCTGGCGTTACTCGCAACTGAATTTAGTGCAAGCTCGTTTCGATGGTGGGTAGGGAGAACCGGTGCTAGACACGGTAGCACGGATTTCTATTAGCTCCTCTATTCGAAGAAAGTGCCAGCAGCCCATTAGAAGGGTGGCCACCGTCGCGCCCAGTCCCTTTTAACGATTTATCAGGCCGATCGCTCTTCACGAATTATCGGGGAATTCCTGGAATTTGGTCGGGTTCCTGAAACACCCGAGGGGAGACTTGGATTCTCGTTGGTTTTACAGTTTCGTTATACGATTAGGAGGATACAACCGTCTCTCGAACGAGTGAAGAGATTCTAGTGTACCAGAATGAAGCTATTTGGGAATTCGTAATTGATGTTAGTTGAGGCATTCCGGAGTATGTTGCGACCTCTGATGGGGTGTATGTATTAATTCTATGTCTATGTAATTGAACATATTTTTTTGGAGACAAATATAACAAACACGGTCTCCCATCGGCAGCATAAAGACAACAATAATTTACACTAAAACCATCAGCATCCATCGACAATTCACGTTACCCGTTTCAATTGTCCACAGTGCCTGCAAATTTATCTTCCTCGTCTAGCCCTTTAACCCCGATCATTAGTCACGCTCGCCAGTGAACACACACGTGGCCGATCATAAAGTTAACGTGTTTCGATTCTTCGTTTTACAGCGAGTACAAATCATCGCCGAATCCGACGAAGGAGAATTATTTATTGAGCGTGTTCCTGGGCGACATTGTAGGCAGCCCGAGACTCTGTCATCAGCTGGCGAAGCGAGGAAGAGGCTGCGACGACGACGCCACGTTCACGGATTAACTGTAAACCGCCATTTACGTTGTACAAAAACCAACGGAGAGAGTCCTGTGTACAGATTGTAAATATCCCGATGACGCAGAACGCTGCATCCCGCGATTATACCCGTTTAATCCACGGGAAGCGAATAAAGCTTCCCCCCGTTCGTGTTTTCTCGCCTGGTTTCGCGTAACGAGGTTCCTCGACGCGACGCCGTAACAAAAACAACCGGAGATTCAGCGATGCCGAATGTCGTACAATTAATTATATTACCTTTAAGGCTGTTAACGTTACCTGAACGCCGTCGACTCTGGCCACGCTCGTTGACCAATTGTACTTACTATTACTTTAAATTCTGTTGGTTCTGTTTGCATTGTTGTCAGGTGTACCAATAAGTGATTCTCTATTTCTTGTCTGGATCAGGATCTGTGAAGAAATTATGTAATGATTATTAATGATTGGTGACGATCTTTTTATAAAGAAATAGGAAGTCAGTGTTGCTTTAACAATAGCGTTAATACGTATAGGTTTTTTTTGTATTTATTGGTACACCTTTTTGTGGAGAATAGAAAGTTACCTTAACACGTTGACTGTATGTTATTGGCACATGAATTAAACATAAGAGTTACGAAAGTGGTATCTCAGATGAGGTGTTATGTAAAATAAATTTGTTCGGAATTTACAAAGTTTGTTAATGTTAAAAACATTAGTGGTCTGACCAATGTTGATCCAGACAGTCTGTGTGGTGGTGAACGTGTTCATTTTGGAATTATCGAGTGAATGTATTTCATAAATAATAGGACAAGTAAAAGTCGTAAATGTTTTTGAGTAATATGAAAACATTATACGGACGAATATATAATGTTTGTTAACGAAAAGTATTTGTAATTACGTGACAAAATATTGACACGCTGTATTTGTCAAATTATCAAAGCTGATTATGAGTTCCATTAACACACAGACACGAGCGAGAACAAAATATTTGTTTAATACTATAATTCTACATCTGTTTTAATACTAAATGCAGAATAACCTTCAATATACCGGGTTTCTCGCGTAAATGTTTCATTTGAAATATTTTCTTCAGTTCTTTCAATATTTATTTATGGATTGATTAGGAGTATTATCCACATTGAAAGCTCAGAATAATATTTTGAGACTCATCGAAATAGAGTTCGCCAAGAAGAAATACAAAGGGGCACAATCTTTTCTTGATGGTAAAATACGAAATATGAACAAAGTATTTCAACTGATAATATTCAGCGACGTATATTGTATGCAGGATACGTGTCACTAGTAAATTAAACAAGAAGCAACGCTACTTATCCAGACATTCTCTTCGAATCTGTGCCAGAGCAACGACGACTACTTGTGTCATTTACGAATCCCTTGTTCATTGACAAATAAATCGATTTTATATACTAAACTACACGTATCCTTGAGAACATGCACGAAGACGTATCCGGCAATGGCGCATACGCGCGAAAAGCGGGCACGCGAAGTGAGAGTAGCCCGCGATGACGTTTCTGCCTACCTACGCCTCTGAGCGGTTTCGAAGAAAGTTCCAGTTGCCCGTGGAACTGTGACACGATCATCCGCGAAGTGAGTCAGTCGTACGGTTCACTTTAAACCGTGAAAAGTAGTGTCTCCTAAAAACGAATTATTCGAACTATAATTCCAACCGAATCTGTCATTTATCACTATCAATTTCTTACAAAATTTCTTTACGAACTATTAAAGTTTATCTCGACAGATTTCTCCTCGATTCAAGACAATAATAGTGTCTCTCCTAAAATTGATTGCGTTAAATCGTACCAGGATGTCACGGTGGACGTTAATATAATTTTTATAAGAACGTCATTGAAGATCTGAGTGAACGAAAAGGAAGAGGAAAGGAAGTAGAGACGACGGAAACTTAACGTTTAATTTCAACGGTAGAAACAGTGAATTACGCGATGATATTCAACGTCATCCTTATTTGTTTTTTTCTTCGTTTTGACGCTCGTGCCGAGGTTCGATCTCAAAGGGTTCCACAGGAAATCGATGATGCTCGTTATTGCGACTTCGACGGTTCACGAAAGAACTACAACGCGTCGGATTTGTTGCAGTGAGTAGAAAAACGTATTATTATTGACAGAAAAGGGACGAAAACCGTTGGATAATTCACTGTCGAGGAAACGGTCGCGTAGGTGTATCGATCGGTTGGCTGGCGATCACCTTGATCGTGAAAGCGGCGGGCCGACTGGTGGGAAGAGTCAGTGGAACGGGTCGACCGGCAGACAGATCTCCTTCACCGACATTTTTGCGAATCTGTTCGACCAGAACCAATCTCCGGTACGTTGGAAACTAAGGATTAGTTGTTAACAGTCGAATTTTCTCAGAATTTTTTTTAAAAAAAGACACTGTTGGTCATTGCACGTGAAATGGTGGATTTTTACAGTTAAAAATGTAGATAAAAATATGTAGATTCTTGCACGCAAAATTCGATTGTCACAGCTGGATCAAAATGGCCTTTCATCAGACAAGGATGAAATCTACGTATAACACATGTCGCACATAACATCTCCATAATGAAACGTTACGAACAAATTAAGTGAAACTATTCATTGTAACGCTACTTAAAGCATAGATCACCATAAATCCAAAAATTTTAATAGATCATTCGTATATCAATTATTACCAGACAGTCGCCATGCAAAATAATAAAACTGATCGAACGGGGCCGAAATAAGCGACGGTCTCTCCCACACCAAGTTTCCCGGAACTTTTCTACTTATAGCTCCATCAGACCACCTCCTATCCGGCGGATACGGCGTCTAGCTACTACCAATCGAATTACCCGACGACATCAGGTGGAACGTTCGATCTTCCGGGTGGATTTCGGCTGAATCTCCTCGATGCCCTCTCCTCCATATCCCGTCACGATGACTATAAGTGCGTGCCACGGATACTCTGCGAGATGGCCAGCGGAAAGCTTCCTGGGAGATCGTTAGGCAAACAAACCTCGAATCTCTTCGACTACTTCGGACAAAACACTCTCATGGAGTACGTCTGCTGTTCCTGGTCGAGACCACCACTCGTAGAACGGTTTCTTCACTCCTCTATCGAATCGTGTTTTCAGATGGCTGACCAAAGTCGACGTCGCCGGTGATTCCCCTCTGCTGAACTTCGGACGAGCGATGATCCTCGGTTACAGCAACAGAGGGAACTCCCCGGCGTGTTACAGAGCATTCCCGAGGTGCCCGAGGGACTCCAGCGAGCTGGTTTATTATCTGAATAACTACAACGGAGGGTTCTTTCGACTCTTTAATAGAATTCGGTTCGGCCAGCATAGACAGGCGAATCGTTTCCGTGATCAGCGACGTAAGTCAATTCTGGAGTTAGGGTACACTGCATATTGCGCACAGCCACTGTCAACGTATTCGCTACCAATGATCGACTTACAGTGAAGGGGAGAAGTATTTGTACAGTGAACATTTTTCAGAGATATCAGTCAAAGGGAATTTGATTTTTATTAAGAACTAGGCTCCATCGGGGTTCTAGTGTAAGTGTCGCGTGGTCCGTCACAGTCTTCTGACCGGAAGGCAACCTTGTCTTCCCTATTCCGTGGCTAAATCCCCCAGGAATTTATTACTGAGTACCCCCAGTATTTCTTATATCTTATTCTAGAGTCGTTATACCGAAATGTACAGTGTGTTCCGTGGTAAAACCGACAAACCTTTCTAGTATACTTTTGAGTACTCTTGGGTATATTTAGTTCGATTAAATTTTTAAGAATAATCACTTTCCATCATCATTAATTCCAAAAAATGGATTTTTTACGTTAAACGCTGTCATTTTTGTCTCTACTGTAGGTAAATATTCAGGGCCTAGAACCGAGGGCAGAATAATTACTGGTTCAGCAATAATAGCCGAACCGCCTCGAGTATTTGTAAATAAAGTCCATTTTCCAAATTACGAATACTATAGAGGCAGCAATGAGATCACTTTCCCAAACGAGAATCTTCTGAGCACTGAATCTGTGGCAAATGATATCCCGAATTATATACCAGAATCGGAGGAGACCGTTTTCCAGGAAGACCGTATTCCATTCTTCCCTCAGGTAATTACATCAAATACAAATATTTAGAATCCTATATAACAAATTATTATATCCTTTCCAGGTGGCAAACAGTAAAAGATATTCCCGCTTGCGATTTCCTTGAATATCTAAAGTAGAACTATCAAAACGAGGGAACACCAAAGAGTCAACGTTTCCGAAACGTCCCAAAGCTCCAGAACATAACTATGTTAAAGTTTCTTTGCAAAAATATCTCACGACCGCAGTCAAAAATAACAAAATAATGTATTACATGAAATGGCTAGTATTTCAAATGAATTGATAATATTTTCATTTTCAAATAACAGTATTGAAAATAAAGTTCCGAAATAAATTATTTCAAATAGTTATTTCTTATTTTCATTTCAAATAAAATTTGCCCAGGTCTGCCTACAATCTCATGAAAAAAAAAACATACGGTCCTATTGATATTGACCATATTCGCTATACAACAAAAGTATTTTCGGAATTTTGTTTATCGTCATTTGTAAAACTTTCGATACTATTAAAATACGGTTCAAAACACTTTCGGTTGCATGGCTGTAAATAGCATAAAAATAGCGAGTAGCGTTACGTGGGACACCTTGTATCGTCTTTCGAGCGGCCATCGGTTATTCCATCAAGCCGTGTCCCATCAGGGATTCTCCATCCACCTGTATGGGGCCCATGTTTCATAAACAGGAAGTCCCGAGACGCCGTCGTTGAGCGCGATGTTACTGGCGCAAACGCCATTTGTGGAAACAGCATGGGGCGCCGTTCGAGCACCGACAAGTTGTCCAATGAATCTGCTCACGGGGCATGAGCCACCGCTTTATGTCTCAGTTACCCGGGACGGTAAATTGTATCTTATCACCGTTCGATTTCCTGCTTAGATACTGCTGCGGACGCAACAACTATTCGTGATCGAGGGACAGGATGGGTAGATTCGTACGTGCAATAGATATCCACGTTATAGAGTAAATGACCCAATTACGGATGGTCGTATTATGAAGGGTTAACTATATTTCTATGAATTAAAAATACTGTATTTATACAACATCTGTAATAATTCTTTTTAATGAAGTTCAGTTCCGCTTTTATTCGAAGGAATTAAAAGATTTTCTATATAAGCTCTGTTATTTATTAAGATTCGTATTTTAGTATTGAATCTGACAATTTGGACGCGAGGTAGTGATCATGATCAATAAATATACTATGTAACTTTGTGCTTACTTCAATTTACTTGAATATTTTTTCCACGTAAATCATACGCAATTTGTCGGTAACGAGTGGGTGGATCCGTTGCGAACGGCGAATCTGTCCAATTCCATGAGAACCGTTTCGAACGATCGTTTGTTAAATTCCCGGTTTCGAGTAGTCGGGCCTTCATTTCATGCCCTTTATTACACCCCTAGTCGTAAGTCGCCGTTCACCTGCGGCAATCACGGAAGGTACAGGGAACAGGTAGGTAATAATTAGTAGTAACTGACTGTATCTAGAACGGATTCTATCGTATTTATCCGAGTGCGCGTCGGGGCTAACTGTGACTAAAACAGAACGATCTTTATTGACTCTTGTTAACTCATTCGTATTTTACGGTGTTAACCACTATTTATTTTGAACACCGACCACAATAAAGTGCGCTAAATCACTGTCGGTTAAAAGTTTCGAGACACTCACTCCCTCGCAACAGTTCAAATACAACCTACCCCAAGCGACATCCTGGCACAACTACCTCGCAAAAGAATCTCTCAGGCAAATCCTACAATTTTCTATCCGCAAAAAGAAACAAGTCTCTCGACTGCCGGATCTAAATGTCGGTAACACGTGTTCCCCGGACGGTTGACCACAAAACTTCACGCGTATAGAACACGACAACGAGGGAAACAGAGAGGAAAAATAGCCCGGAGGGGGTGGGGGATGTTTGGAGAACGGAAAAGCGGGAGAGACAACGTGTAATTATTTTATCCTTTCTGGCGTGTAATTCGAGGCGTGCTCGTGTCCTAGAGTTCGGGTGGGTGTTGGTAGGTTATCAGGGGGTGGGCTACCCACCCCCAGAAAAGGGGAGGGGGGAGAGTTGGTAACGTTCGGGTCGGTGGCGGGCGATCGGTGTAGCCTGGAGGGCCGTGTGCCTTCGACAAGGCCAAATAGGGTGCAACTGACAGCGAAAGACAATTAGCCTTCTGATACATCCAGTGTCGCACGGTGACGCTGGCCCCGAAAACACACGGAGGCGCGTCGCGTAGATTCGATACGCGGCTCCGCGACACCGACCGAAAACACTTGGGGGGTGGGCGCACCCGTCATTGTTACTGGCAACCAAACCAAACGGGCCGCCCTTCGATTCCGCTTCTATTGCGTCGCGTAATTGAACGTCGGTTTTTCGTATTGTTTGCCTTGATACCGGCTGATTTGCGGCCTCCCTCGGTCGCTAAAGCGTGGCCGCGATTCTGATTTGGGCACGGTAGAAGGGAGCGGGGATTTAAAGGGATTATCCTGGTGATTCGTATCTGGGTAGGCACAGGATTTTTTGTGAGTGGTTTGTGGACCAACTTAGAAAAGATAGTCTTATACACTCCTCGTAAGTATAAGGTTATCCAATAGTACCTTTAAGATGTTACATTTGAATAAAATAAAAACTATTTCGAATTTCTGAGTGTTTTTAGTTTTGATTATTAGTGTTTTCAGTGGCAATTAGACGTGGAACATGACTGATCGATACATTCTTACAACGACGAGTAAAATGTTATGACAATACATTTTCTCAGATCTTTTGTAACTTTTATTACGACGTGACATTAAAGAAATTAGTTAATTTATATATTCGAAGGATACTCGTAAACGGAAAGTGCATACAATACCTCATGCACCAACTATTACAAACCCACCCCTAAAACCTTATTTTACTCATAGACGAATAATTCCAAAAAAAGAAACACGTTCATCCCCATTGGGAGGGGACTAGGATAGTGTGAGATTCCCACACATTAAACGCACCATAGTCGCCTACATACTCAACTTTCCCCATCTACATCATAGAAGATCTCATGGCCGTGCATTTCCTCGAGTGAAAAACAATCCGATAGGCGGTTGACGTCTCGACTGGTTGAAATTGAATCCACAAATCACGGATAAACGCGTAACAGGCTGAAAGAAGACAGTCTCGTTCCGATACCGCAAAGGGCCCGCGCGACAAATATGATTCCCGGGGCGCGACGCGAGGCGACGGCACCCGTCCCTCCTCCGTCCCCCGTAATCTCACTCTATTAGGGCGGTATTATTTTCCGTGGTAGACATCAAAGAGGATTTCCCGCGGGCTCATTGTATCGCGGGCGATAATTCCTCGTTATTAGGAGCGGGCCGGGAGCGTTGGTCTCATGTCGGCTTACCACACCCCAAGTGCCGAAACAAATCCTCCCGAATTGAAGCCGATGCAAAGGAGCTCCTTCGGTACGCCGATACCCGCCAGGCTCCCCGACAAAAGAACCTAGGTGGAGGGTGGGGGGCTGACGCGATCGTCGCGGTTAATCCCCGTGAAAAATGCGACGCAGGTGAACGGCCACCAGGTGAGAGACCAGACTGAAAAGGAAATCGAATTTTCCGCCAGCCGCGCGGTGTAATCAAGTGCACTTGATCGGCTCGGGCGCCGAAATAATTAGACGGTTTTAAGGGAGGCGGGAAGACGCGAACGGAGGGTTCCGAGGGTGTTCCTGTTGGTGGAAATTCTTTTGGAGAGAATTCTGAGAGCGCTGGGGAAAACCGCTGAGAAGAGGGACTTTTGAACAGACGGTTTTGTACGCGACGACTTGACGCGCGAAAGGATTGAATACTAAATGATAGGGAAAGGTATTTGTGAATGATGGTGGATGAAAATAGTATTTGCGAACGAAGATCATTTATGATTAATATGTTCGAAGGAGTGAATACAACGCTATGTATTAGGTTGTTGCACAGAAAAATGTCGGTTTTTTAGGAACTTTCACTTCGACTGTCTTAACACGTTACCTATTGGCTCCTATTTTATAGGTTTAGTAGAGCCAACGATCAACACCCAAGCAATTACTATTCAAGTGTTCAATCGCAGTAGTAAATTACATTCATGAACAATAGCAAAAACTCTAATAGCATGACGTAATAATTTCTTCGTTAACTCTGCTGTAAGGGTAAATTAATAGGCTTTTTATCTATAAGCACTGAAATTTGAAAGTCTATTAATGAGCCACCGGTCAGTACAGTGTTAATTTTAATTTACTTGGATGATTAAGCATGTAATTTGTTGGCAAAAGTGTGCAAGTTCAGATCGATGTTATAATACTTTAATTAAATGTCTGCGCTTCATGGTAAATTATAATCATTGAAACTATGCAATTCGAAAACGATATTTTTTATGCAACAACTTAATATATTACTTGGGAACGTACTAATGTGAACATTTTGTGTGACAGAAAATTCTGATGGTCTAAAAAGAGGAACAATCTCATTGAATGATTAATTTAAGATCATTGGTCCAACAACCTTATTACTAAGATGTTTGACTGTTTTCTTACATACATTTATATCAGTATTCATTGCAGATGAAATAAGAAGAACAAGAAAAATACACAATTGAATTTCTAAACTAAACACTTTCGTTTTAACTTTTGAATAACAACACTCCGTTTAAATTTTGAAGCCTTAAGGACATTCGTGAGGATAGTGGATATCGTAAGTTCGAGTGATTTATGCTTTATGGCTGAACTATATTTCTGTGACAATTGGAGGATATAGAGAACTATGTATTCGATGTGATCCTTGGAAAGCTGGATAAATTGCTGTCCCTATTTGTAACTATTAGTCAAAGAATTAAGGGCAAGGATTGTGTTTCCAGCCGTATATCGCAATTCTTGGAAGTTTCACGGAGTTGTAAATCTCAGCTATGTGATATCTACATGATGCACGAGAGTTGGACTGCGTTCGATTTTACACGGTCTCAAGATATAGTTAATATGAATCTTGACGCCTGTCATAACTATATGAGGTTGATAATGCAACCTTTCTAAGTCACTTTCTACTGATTTCGATAAAATGATGCATTATCTCTGCTTAAAACTCGTACTCTGAATGCAAAGGGTTCACCAACAAAACACATGTTAACATCACTCGATATACAGTTGATAATCTAGACCTATAATTTACAATTCATTCGCGTAAACATCTATACAAACTCGTACGACAAACTATAAATCATAAGAATAATATCCCGTAGTTGCCTCATCCCCTGATATAACTTGGATCGGAACACAGTGGCCCAAGCAAACTGTAACATCCAGGAGATTAAAAACGCGACGGAAACAAAAGGAAACGCGGTGCCTTTATGAAGTGGAGCCAGGGGATATTCACGAAAGTGGGGGTGGATGGGGGGATCGAGGAAAATTTTTAGCTATATATTTTTCTCCACGAGCGCTCCACAATGGTCCAATATCGTTGGTTCGTAATATACCGGCGGACTGTCCTTTCCTTCCCGATGGACTTTTCAATTTAGAGGGCATCTTTGTCACAGGGGGTGGAGGGGACTCGAGGACGGCAATTCGGCCGGACAAAAGGAGCCCCCTGGCCGAGGCCGTAGATCTCCGTGGCTGAAAACTGACTCCTCTATCGTTCCCCCAGCCGCTTGATCGACAGAATAATTCGCCGGGAATGAAAATTCACGTCCCGCCACCCACAACGCCCTTCTATCTTTGGCTACGGGATCTTGTGGGGGGGAGGGGGATCCGTGACGGTCAGACCCGCGCGGATAAGTGGATATCGCAAGGGAAGGAAGGAAAATATCCCTTCGGTTTCATTGTCGTGGCCACCGAGATTTCCAACCCCCTCGGCCTCCTTTTAAAACGGTGAATCGCTCCCTTTGTCGATG